GTTAGTACAGCAAATGTGACTGTCTGGGTTTTTTTTTAGTGTAGCGGTCTTCTCTGATTGGAAGAAGTTTGGCTAATTACCTGATATAACTTGAGTCCAGTAGTTATTTAGATTCAAGGATCTCTTCTCCAAATTCAATTAGTTATTTAAAAACCACAAGGCCAAACATGCTGTATGTAACATATAGATCCTGAAGCTCGGGTCCTCCTCCAGAGGCGGTTCTCAGGACTGCGCTCTCCTGGTCAGAGATCTGTTGGAACCACTCTTTCAGCTCTTAATGCTCCTGTTACTACTTTAGACTTTACCTTCTCTAGTTGTGCCTTCAGCATCTGGTACTTTTCTATTTTCTCCTCCTTCCTGATGTTGCTGTCTGCTAGCACTGCCACATCTGTCACAACTGTGGTCTTCTCCCCCTTTTCAACCACCACTATGTCCGGTTGGTTGACCAGCAGCTGCTTGTCTGGAACTTGAAATCCCACGGGACCTTTGCCCTGTTGTTCCCAAACACCACTGGTGGTGTCTCCCATCGGGAGTTGGGGACTTCTAGTCCATATGCGGCACAGATGTTCCTGTGTACTGTCTCAGTCACTTAATTAGCCTCTCAGTGTAGACAGTCCCAACAAATATCCTGCTACTATGTGTTAGATAGTCTCAGGTCATCTTTGTAGAGTCTGCAACTTGGGCCCTGTTAGCTGTGGTAGACTTCTGCCTCTATGGATCTGTTGCTTAGGGCCTGTTCCTGTGCCTCCATGATCAGAGCGTCTGTTGTCCTGTAAGCCAGGCTTTTCTAGACACGGGTATGATTTCTTGATGTCAGCCACTTCTTCTAGCTTCCTCTCCGGGGTGCAATCTTCCTGATTTGTTCACAGATGCTCCGTGTTTCTTCCTGGATTGTGTCTCTGGCACTCATTAATCCTCACCCTACCTCTTTCTGTTGCTCATAGAGTCTTGGGGTGATGGACTTTGGATGGAGACCTCAATGCATTGTGTGGAGCTTCTGTGTCTTGACATTTCAATTCAATTCAATTATATTTACTCTATATTTATAGAGTGTCAAATCACAACAACAGTTCCCTCAAGACCCCACATTAAATGGTAACTGGCCTGTATTTGTATAGTGCTTTACTTAGTCCCTATAGACCCCAAAGCGCTTTACACTACTTTCAGTCATCCACCCATTCACACACAGGTGACGGCAAGCTACATTGTAGCCACAGCCATCCTGGGGCGCACTGACAGAGGCGAGGCTGCCGGACACTGGCGCCACCGGGCCCTCTGACCACCACCAGTAGGCAAC